TATTATTGGCGAAGTACACGCTATTGTAGTTCCACTAATTAATTTGGTGTGGATAAACCAATCCAAAATGTAAGATGTAAGACTGATTTTTAGAAGATTTTGGAGAGATTGTAGGATATTCAGATGCTTAATAAGAATTTTTAAAGTAGAAAGTGATTACTCTCTTTAAACGCCTCCTCAACAGATTAGCAAAAACTTTCAAAAGAATCACTTTTATGTAAATTCTGCCAAAATGAAATTTCTTTCGATAATCGAGTTTTTATTAGTGTGGAAACTGTAAAGAGAGGGAAATATTGTGGAGCCAATCATAAAATTCAAGTATCTCGGGAAAGAAGTAACTAGATCCTAATACTAAATAATGAAGTAAAGAAATAGGTTAAATAGGTGACAAAAAATAATCGTGTTTGACGGTCATAATTTGGGAAAATAAATATGTGAGAATGGATAAAAAGTGGAAATTTGTGTCAAAACCAGTCCCCACATACACTGCAGAAAATTAATTTTCAGAACGCCTAACAAATGGTGGAAACTTCTAAGAGGAATGTGTTACGGAGAATTGGCGAAAAGTCCAAACTAAACGAAGTAATTGAACTAAGGAAAGCATGTAAAATAAAGAGACGCGAGACCAGATGGAGAGAAGGACGTTTGCCTGTGGAAGCATGTATGAAGAATGAACACTGTAAAGAAGGCAGGCCTAGGAATGCGGAGGCAAGGAGAGATGATGTTCCTGAGGAGAACAAATTGTAAACGGAGGGAGACGGAGATGAAGATGAGAATAGAAAGAAAGAGGAAGAGTATAACAGCGTCTAGGATACTACTGGCTAGCACCCAGAGAAAATTGAGTCAGGAAATGCCGACCATACAAAACTTAAAGCAAACAAGGGAGGTGACAGATGAGTGAATCGACGTAAGAAGTAGGAAAAAAGGGAAAGCTAGAGTAGGATTCCCGCCAATTTATCTAGTATTTTTCGGAACGGTTTTGTGTTTTTTGACAAAATGCCTATCTGCCAGTCTGGTATCTAAACAATTCATATGTCTTTTGCCAAAATAAATATTCGCCTATCGATTTGGGCTTACAAGAAGTTACGCTATTTGGAAAAGAATTCTCTATACCTTGGAGGACTTCACATGAAGTTCATGGGATATTTTCCAAATGTTGAATAACTCTTCGAAAATTGCAAATGTTCGAACGTTTTTGGACCCGTTGTAGAATCTACGTTATTGAAGTTTAAGTGCACAGAATAATAATAAAAATTAAGAAATGTATGTTCTTCCTACAAAACACTATTTTCTCAGTATCAATATTACTTGAAAGTAAACTAAACTAATGAGTTAACAGTTACTTTCTGTAAATGTTTTACATAATTTCTGTGATGTGAGTTAATATAGAGGGTATTTCATAACTGAGTATTGTGCGAAATGTTGTTTGCATTGTTGCAATGGAAACGAATATTGTCTAAGCAAAATACATAGAATTATTTAATACTACAATGAACGGTAAAGGCTGCGTATGCATAAAATATGATGATCAGTTGTTTTATTAGTTTTATAAATTTATTGTTACATACGAGTATCTGTAAAACATTTATAGATAGTACGGTCAGGTCCAATTAAGGTGGGGTCATGGTGAAGGGTTCGAAACCCACGTAGGATATGAATGTTTTAACGTGTGTTCGTGACATGCATGTGGGGGAGAGAAATTTCGAGTCCCTCATTTATTATAACTATGCTCCAATCATCCCTTAATCGCTGGGACTGACAAGCAACTGCATGTGTACTCTATGTAATTGAGTAAGGGAATCCCTACATTTAAAACAACACACCTTTGGGCCAAGGAGTATTGGGCAAATAGGTTAAAGTACAGGACCGAGGTCTATTCGACTTTCATGGAGCGTGAAGAAGTTCTTTCCTGCGAATGAGACGCAAAGAAGAGCGGTAGGCATCGCGAGTGACCTTCGTAGGTCTTTTCGGCACCGACAGATGGCAGCTGGGACGGATATGTGGCAAAACCAGAGAGATATCTCAGATTCAAGAGAATAGGAAACTAACTCATACGCAAAGTGCGAGCCATTGTGTATCACCACTAGCTACTATTTGCTTCTGTTGGCGCATAGTTGTCGAATGCTGTTTAGCACGGAAATTAGAATTGTAAACATTTTTCATCATACCCAAACTCAAGTGCAGCATGAATGATAGCTTAAAAATTTTCCTTCGAAATAGGATGTGCACTTTGGAATTACTCTCAATGGAAAGAATGTCTCATTGGAAGAATATCCATTCCTTGAAATCAATTATATTATTTCAAATGTGGTCAGCCCGATGTAGTAGGAATTCTAGTGAAAATGTCTGCGAGATGCAGATAGAACATTTATTCTTACTTTGAAAATAAATGTAGATATAATTTTCAATGGTTGTTGTATCGTAATTAAGATACAAAAATATGTTTTTTATCAGTATAACTAATATAGTACATCTGGACATTAATTTTCACAATATGTAGTTAGAACCATTTAATTTTAAGGTCCCAACTTCTGCATTCGTCTTTTATGTGGCAAGAAGCAATTTGAACTAGAAGACGGGCAGAATCGAACAGGCATCATATTCGTAACTTTTTTCTGCGGTATTTAGGGTATTATAATGCAATGCATTTACTAAATTGACAAGCTTTCTTGAGTACATGTGTCTGTCAAAGTGAAATTTAGAATTGACAATAGGAATGATCATTTGTTAGGAAAGTAAAAACAAAACATTTCTAGAAAACGTTCATTTATTTTTTTAATAAAACGTACAATGTTAAACAATCCTGACAAAGACGTTTTACATTTTCACATTCAAAAAGAATTCTAGACAATTTACTACCAGTCACAGCATTGAGCAATCCCTTTTAAGGGGGTTTATTGTGCTTTATTTATGTTACAATTAGCTGGAAGTCATAAAACCACATTAGTTATGATTGTACAATCTCGACTGATATTAAAATTCGTTAGTCAGTAAAGCATTTCGTTTTGGACCTTAGCGCATATTCTGCACGTACACTCCTCAAATATACATTCTCTACAGACAAAAAGCTGTTTTAATTTTTTGACAGTGCTCTATAAAATGATTTCATGACATCACAGCGATTCTTTTCATAAGAACAGTTCGCTTTTCACAAATTGCGAGCCCTAGATGACTTTGTATGGCACAATATTTGACGAATCCGTAAAATAAGATCTAGGCAGAAGAAAAACTACTACTAAGAATTAGAAAACAAACACACAATCTAAAAAATGCCATCGGGAATGTGTGTGCTTCTATCACACCTTCTCGCCAAGTCAATGACTTATGACACACACCGCCTCATCGAAATTTTATTCTTAATGGAACTAATTTACTTGAAATATGCCTAAACAGCAAACTACTGATTTATTCTAAAGTATATCAGACATTCATCTGGTATGAAAAGTTGGTTCAATTTTCAATAGCCTGTCAACGTTTCTATCGCTTAATGATCTACGTATGCAATAAGCCTTTGCAAATGGGAAGTTCAGCTATCTAGAGTGTCATGGCGGTGCTGCCGATGACGGGCAGAGACGATGTAGTCTTCTGGCGAGGGTGTAAGAAGGAGCACGTCCTCTGGAGGTTAGCATCGAGCTCTAGCCCCAGAGTTTCGTTCACTTAGCTGGAACAAAAACAAAAAAAATCAATCATTATATGCTTTTAAATAGTTATTTACGTAACTATTACAGAAAGTGAGTTTTTGGTGTTCGTTAGAAATGATGACGGATAACCAATGTAACCATTGCGGCGTTTTTTAACCCTTTTTTATCAGTTGCATACATTTTTATTACTTTCTCTCTACGGAGTAGAAATATACTTATGTAATGTTGTGTGAAGAAACAGCGAATTTTCGGCAGAAAAACTCTTTATTACAGGGTCCTGATAAGGAAAAAGTGGATAAATGCAGTTGCTAAATTGAGAAAAAAATTCTAACACGTGGACTAGCCAGAATCCGTGTTTGTTGGTCCTTGATACCGAAAAATCGAATGACGGCAAAACATCTGTCCGTCCGTCCGTCAACAACGCTAGCGGGATAAGCCTTTCAGTCGATTGTCTTCAAAATTGATGAACCCCCAAACGTTTAGACTGATGTTGTTTGAATTTGACCTGATAATTATTTGGGGGGGGGATACTTTATATGAAGCCCCTGGGATATTTTCCAAATTATTTAACTAATGGATCCATCGTTTGTTTAAATTTTGTTGTTGGATAGTGTGAAGGACGTTGAGAATGGTGCCGGTCTCATGTTCGTTGAAAACCCTGATATTTGGAAAAAAAAGAAAATTAAATTTTTTCGACCTCTTCCTACAACTACAAGATAAGAATTTTTTTCTTAAATATGGAAGTCTGTTCCTTAAATCTGGATTTTTAAATTAGGTCAGGAAAAAGTTTTCGAAAATTTGAGTAGTTTTCGCGGCATTTCGCATGAAAATACTGGCAACAAAGTACGTGCTGTTTTAGCACCCCTATTTTTGCACAAATTTAAGGAAACCTACAAGTACATACTCTTGAGATCTTTCTCAATACGCGAGGCGGTAGCCATGTTGATTCACGTCATCAGTGGTTTGTTTACTTTGCAGACTTCAATCAGTGTCCATGGCTTCTTTGCGAAAAGCGTACGGCAAACGCTATTTTGCCCTACGTTGCCCGCAAAAGAACAATTTTCAATCAATAAACAGTGAAGATAAACACTAGTTTTCATTGTAGAGTGCTGAAAAAAGTATTTTCACGTAATGCGTAGTTTCACAAGAGAATTAAAATTATTGTATCGGGTCATAGGTAATTATTTACAATTAAATATTTTTTTAAATTATCCTGCTTAGTTGTGCCTTACTTCACCAATTACAAGTTTCGTGGGCAAAAACAAAACAGCAACTTGCTGAGTGTAATTTTAATTCAGCAGGAGGTTTTTAATGTGCAATTTTCACTGCCTTGTATGAACGATAATGTATTTTTCTTACCATCGTGCACGGCCGTACGGCAGGCAGCGGCCGTAGTAAGTATCGAAAGCGTAGCCATTGGGGCAAGAGATGATGTTGGTGTATCCTCGGCGACAGAACGATACCGATGTGCACTGCTTGTTGAGCTTGTAGACCTTGCGGTGGTAGCAAGATGTTCCAGCGTTATAGACTAAAATGAAAAAAAAAAACAAATTGTAATAAGGAGGTAACTAGTTCGAAATTGTAAATGTATATAATACAAAAGCTGTTGCACTGGAGTTCAGTAGGAACACGCAGTGAAAGGCAGATGTTTTATATAAGTAAACACTTGTGTAAGATGGGTTGCCTATAAATCAGGTGCAAATCTCACTTCTGTACATTTATTAAAATTATTTTTTTAATGTAAGGTCGCTTTAAAACTGCTTGGTTATATAGCGAACAATGTGATTTTCAACATTGGGGAACTTTAAGGGGAACACATAAGAACAACGCAAACAAACATCCATGTCCAGGACGAGATTGAAACTCGCGACTCTTCGAGCCAAGGCAGCCACGGCCCTTCAACTTTAGCGACCTTGGCTATCCAGGTCTGCTTCTGTAACATTGTTACACGAGTTTCCCCACCATATGTTCACTGGCAAAAAGTGATCATCTTCGCCCCACTACATGTCCTAGAAGTTTGTAGCATTTATTCTGAGACACTGTGTATTACAAAGAGCGAGTGATGCTTACTGGAGCTGTCGTAGCGCGCCTCGCCCGAGGGCTCCTCCGCCGGGGGCATGGTGCCCGGGCCGTCGCCCGGGGCGGGCGCGGGCGCGGGGGCGGGCGCGGGGGCGATGCCTCCATCCCCGTTGCCGCCGCCGTCGCCGCCGCCGTAGTTGCCGTCCCCGCCCTCAGGGTTCTCCGGCTCGGGGGGCAGGCTGGAGGCCGAGGCCAGGCCGCCGCACTCGACGCGGTACGGGTAGTCGCACACGCCCAGCTCCTGCAAAGGACGCGAGTGAATGCGGGAGGTCACTGCATTCACGGGAACGCAAAGTGCTGCCACGCCTCGGCGAGATATGCTCTCTTTTGGGGAAGTCTGTCGGAGAAAGGACTTCGGAACTTGTGAAAAATGAAGGATTTTATACTCGTTTGGTTTCTCACTTTAAGGAACACTTTTAGAGAAATACATATCAGATTGTTTAAAAAAAATCAGATTTTCAAGTGGTTCAACAGACACGTTACTATTTCCTTTTATGCTCGAGCATTATAATATCTACGTACTTAAGATTATGTTTTAAAAATTGTATTTTGCTTTTCTTTTATAATTGAATGAACAGCAAAGAAATGCATAATATGATCTATAGAATGCAGAAAATCTATTGATTCCAGAGGTTTTAAGTTGGTTAATCTACTGATATAATTGATTTAATTGGTCGATACCTAGTTATGATTCTTAAGGCTTGTTGGTGAATAAAAGCAAGGAAAGCAAATGCACAAATTTGATCTTGAGCATGAAAAAATAAAAATGGTTTGCGGGTAGTATAAGGATAATAGATGTCTAACTCCCGTCAATTTCTTTGATAAAAGTCGCGAATATTTGATTATCTAAGATTATTCTACCTAGTATTTAGAAAGATCCGTTGCTTTTTGCTTTCCGTGCCAAAGAATAGTAATGGGTGGGGAGTGCACTCACGTCGTTAAAGTCGAGACCACGTGGGCAGTTGAAGTTGATGGCGCGGCCGCCGTCGCACACGACGAAGGCGCTGCAGTTGATGTTGCTGCGGTAGGTTCCGTAGGGCGTGGGGCACTCCGAACTCACAGGCTGCGGCTCTGTGCGCAGAAAAGGAACGATTTGCGGCAATTGTATGTGTTGGGGGGAGGGGAATGACTCTTAATAGAAGAAATACGTAAATAATAAATTGAGAGTAAAGTACAAGTGGAAACTCGAAAAAACTTTAAATTATTTCATTTCAAAATAAATAATAATTATAGAGTGAAATAGAATTAATTTTTGTAACTTATAAGTGTTTATGTTGAAGTAGAGTTGAAATATATTGATTAGGAGTGCCTTCCATTTTAATGAGGCTCAGTTAGTGAAGCAGAGATGTAAACTAAAAGCAGTAGTACAGATTCTGTATCATTTGTCAAAAAATAATGGACCAAATGTTCTATAAAGCCAAAATGAAGATTGCCACGCAACTCGTGAAAATGAAGCTTATGATATTCTGTAGCAAAAAATTTCACATTAAGGAGAAACATAATTTGCACTACATAGTGATTGATATTGTGTAACTTGCTACGAAATTTCAAATTGAAAATGGTTGATACGACAAAGTAGCTCATTCTAATAACTTGGCAAAGACGCTCTTGCAGTAACGTGGACAACTCACTGTCTTGGCTGCGCTGCCCGCACTCCACGTTATGCGGGAAGTCGCAGTAGCCCTTCTCGTCGCTGAAGTACAGCCCGGACGGGCAGGTCTGCTCGACGACGGTGTCGTCCCAGCAGTTGACGAAGCGGTTGCAGGAGTTGTCGCTGGGGAACTGGCCGCGCGGGCTCTTGCACATCTTGCGCAGCGCCGCCATCGACGGCGAGTCGGAGTCGCCGGCGGGCAGCTCGTTGTCGGGGGGCGGGGCGGGGTACTCTGCGGGCGGCGGCGGAGGGGGGTAGCTGGGCTGCTCGGGAGGGGGATAGCTGGGCTGCTGAGGAGGAGGATAGCTAGGCTGCTGAGGAGGGGGGTAGCTAGGCTGCTGAGGAGGGGGGTAGCTAGGCTGCTGAGGAGGGGGGTAGCTGGGCTGTTGAGGCGGAGGGTAGCTGGGCTGCTGAGGACCTTGTCCTTGGATAGGAACCTGGATCCAGATGTTGCCTGGAGGAGGTTGTTGAGGAGGATAGCTACCTTGCTGGGGAGGATAGCCACCTTGGGGAGGGTATTGTCCGCCTTGGCCGGGTTGCTGAGGATATTGACCGCCTTGGCCGGGTTGCTGAGGATATTGACCGCCTTGGCCGGGTTGCTGAGGATATTGTCCGCCTTGACCTGGCTGTTGGGGATACTGTCCGCCTTGGCCAGGCTGCTGAGGATACTGTCCACCTTGACCTGGCTGCTGAGGATACTGTCCACCTTGTCCGGGCTGCTGCGGATACTGGCCTGAAGTGTCAGCCGGTTGTTGGCCTCCTAGCTGCTGGCCGGGTTGCTGACCAGGCTGCTGGGGATAGCCGCCTTGTCCAGGCTGCGATGGGTAGCCACCCTGGGGTGGGTAGCCGCCCTGAGGAGGAGGATATCCCCCTTGAGGATAGCCACCGCCCTGCTGATTTGGTGGGACCACCACCGCGATCTGCCACTGCTGCAGCTGCCTTCCGTCGTCGTCCGTGGCGCCGGGAACAGCTGTGAACATGAGAGATTTTCACTTATAAAGTGGACTAGGAAGTATGGCGGTGAATGTATTGCTGCAACACAAAATCAAAATTTGGATTGAAATCAATATACCGAATCATTTGGTATATCTCTGCTAGGTACATTTTATGAGGGAAATTTGTTTAATATACTGTCTAACATGTTCCTCAAATGCACATTGGTAAACATACCAGTTCTCAATGATTTTTTTTATTCAATGGTGTAGTTATATCACCCACGATTCAATTAAACGTTATTCTCTTTATCGCTCTATCTTGTCCTGTGCATCTGAGAGGGACTCTGTTACTGAACCACGACACACCTTTCCTTTTGGTTTTTGACTTGAACATAACGTACAACAAAAAACATAAATGAAAGGTCGGGAAATAAACTGCTTGATAGGCAATCGAATCCATACAATAAATGTTCCCATGGGGTTAGATTGTGTTATTACTATCAGCTTTCGTAAAAAGTAAATGATTTTTCACTTTTCGCGACTTCTATGGTGATTATTGTGCGGTGAAATAAAAGACAAGTTACGCTGTAAAAAGGAAAACAATTCAAAGTATTTATGGAAGTCCTTTCTCACCAATGACATGCACGTAAATTTACATAATGTTTCATATTTACAGAGAGAGATTGATATCATTACGTGACAAATTTAAATTGTTATGTAACATTTTTTTGTAAATTGAAGCTGTTTTTAAATACACGATAGTAAAGTACCTCTCAAAAGAAAGACGATTACAAAGCGAGAGACTTGTACAGGGGAACGACCTTTTGAACGAAGAAACAAAACGGAGAAAAACTCAATGAGAGAGCGGAGCCTCGTGAGCGGATGGACGAGACGTGTGCGCTGGGTATGCACTCACTCGCGAAGCGGCTTGGCCCGTCTTGGCTCTCACCCAAACACAAGACGTCTCTCCGACTTTACGACTCTGCGTTTATATTGTCTAGTGTGATGTCTTTTTCCTCGCATTGTCTCTTTAAAGCAACTGGCGAAACTTCTTTTAAGAACCGTCCGTCCCGTGTATTGCGAGATAAAGTTTTAGAGCACACTGCTACTGAAGGTCGTCCATTCAATCGGAATGTTTTACATTAAGAGTGATGAAAAGATGTCCATTCGGAAAAATTCACCTCCATTTGTAGGAAAATTCATAGAAAAATGGTAGCTATTGGTCCGATGAAGTATTAATAATTGCTATGGTCGTGCACACTATTTCTGAATAAGTCATACCTATAAAACAAAGAATGGAAAACAATTATAACTATCAAGCCAGAGAAAACGCTTGGAAATTAAATTTTGAAGCATGCAAGCAAAGAATACTCGTTTAAGCAATGAGATACTTATGATAATATTTTTTTCTAAAATTCAAATATCTTTAGCTTCTCAGAGTTAGGACTTGGGAATAGCAAAATGAGGATTTCATGTTCATTGTCAGAATCTGCTTCACTTCATTTTTAATTCTTGTGCCTTATTACTTGTCTTGTGATGACGTAGGCTGCCACGCGGATATCAAACGCTGCCGTGTTTTCGCGCTCTGCGCGGGGTGGTCGTGCGGGGTCGCCGCGCAGCCGCGCTCAGTTGTTCGTGCCGGCTTCGGGGCCTGTCGCCACCCGCTGGTCGTTGGATTCGTATCTGCCGATCGCGGAGGTGGCGGCGGAGGCGGCGCCACGAGAGCGCGTCACGGTCCGGCGCCACCAAACGACCGCCGCCGCCGCCGCCGTCATCTCACTCCCGCTGTTATCACGCTGCCCTCTTCTGCCTTCGCTTCAGATACGTAGTCTTGCATCTACCCATGTTCTCTCATTCTCATTTTCTACTCGCCTTCCATAATTCCTCTCTCTTGTCGTCGTCCTACGTCTCCTCCTCCTCCTCTTCCTCCTCCTTCTTTTCCTCCACTTTCTTTTCTCCACCTTTCTTATTTCTTCTTCCTTCTTTTCCTCCTTTCTTCTCCTTCCCCTCCTCCCCCTTCTTCTTCTTCTTCTTCTTCTTCTTCTTCTTCTTCTTCTCCTCCTCCTCTTCTTCTTCTTCTTCTCTTCTTCTTCTCCTTCTCTTTCGTCTCTGTTCTTCTTCTTCTCCTTCATCTCTTCCTCATTTTTTCTATTCCTTTTCTACCTTTCTTATTAGCTTCCTCTTCCTTTATTCTTATCCTACTTCTTTATTATTTATGTATTCCCGTCCTTACCTTTCTTTTCCTTCTCTTTCCAAACTTTTCCATTTGTGAGAAATGCAATAGAAATTTGTTTCAATTCCCCCCTTCATATCCTTTCTTCTCTTTGCCCTTATTATTATTTTCCTTCTACCATTTTGTTTTCCTTTTCATCGTCCTTTTTCTTTTCTTTCTATATTCGTCTATTTTTTGTCCACTCCTTCACACTTTTCTACAATTGTATGATCATTTATTAAGTTTGGCTTTGTGTGCAGAACTGTTAGGAATCACATCAGTGAAGCGATGTATGTGGCGGCTAATTCTACTCTCTAAATCGAGTTGTGTTTGCTGTTGCTTGATCTATGACATTTTCTAAGCAATGTAACTCTAATTTTTGCTTGCTGATGAACTAAAAACGTTTAAGCTCGTTCTTTGCAGCCCAGTGAACGTAAATGGAAATGAGTCGCGGGAGATTACTTTTATTAAAACCCAAAAGAAAGCCACGGCATTTAGAATTCATTAAGATATTATCACCGTCGCAGAGTTCCTACCGACACTGACGCTAAATACTAATATCCACTAGTGGTAATGATTACGCATGTTGTTGATTGTGACCTTTCTCTAACTCCGCAAATAATAGTCTCTAACTAGTTATAGGTCACTTATTTAGCCAATTCATAAAATTAGCATTGCCATATCAGTTTTACAGAGCTTCAAAATGCTTACTAAAATTCTTGGAATGGATTAACAGAACATTTATTAAATTGGAGTGTATATTTAATTATTTATTTTCTGGATATAAGTTCGACATTTTAGGAAAAAACAACTTGAAAATAAAATTAATCAAAACAAAACATCTGTAATTGAGCCAGTAAATTGAATATGTATTTGAGAATCAAGTGTTCTGATAGGATCTTGTTTGTTTCAATCAAACCAATTGAGAATTCTGTTCCAATTGAGAATTCATTGTAGGATGATCAATCCGTGAAATTTCTAGAAAATTACATTTAGTGCCTCGTTGCATGCGAACGTGTGTGGAAACACGAAGCACATTAAATAAACGGGTAAACGCGAACTGTTGGGAAGTTTCCCGTGCGCAAGTGCAGGGGTACTGCATCGCACTGCATTAGTCACTTGGCTGTTCGGAATGACACCGCGGTCAACGACAGAGAATTGCCTGGCGTTCCAGCGGGCTGCGGGTGCGGGGGTTGGCGTGGGAGCGGGGGCGGCGGGGAGTGGGTGGGCGTAACATGTGGCGGCGGGCACAACGGGCGGCGACAGCGGCCTGCGGGAGGCGGTTAGCCGGTTGGGCGGGTGGTGGCGGCCGCGAGGGCCGGGCGGGGATCAGAGTTGGCGGTTCGTTGCGGGCGTCCCGCAGGGTTCGTAATTGGCGTCCGCCGGTGGAGTTGGCGGCGGCGGCGGCGGCGGCGGCGACTGGGGCTGGTGCGGCGACCCGCCCGCCTCGCCTCCTGGGTTGCAACCTCCGCCCCGCCCCTTCTCCCGCCCGCGCCGCCGCTCGCAACCCAGCCTCCGCCCCCGGTCGCCGTCACCGATGATCGGGCTTGGTTGTGGTTGGATGCCGTTCACGCCGCCTCCAATCTTTCTTGATTCACGGGAATTCTTTTCGCGAATTCCTGTCCCTGGAGCGTTTCTCTGACAATCGTTGCCACTTCTTCGCAATTTCAAACTTCCATGACGATACACATTCTCACTCTTTTTAATTGCTCTCTTAATTTTTAATTACCGGTTTTTAGGACAAAATCTCTACTTCTATGGTCCTCTTGACGTGTCGTCTCCTTATCTTTGAGACATATCTCCACCTGCCTTTATTTCAATAATATTTCCCCAGTTTGTCAAATGCCATATCCATCATCTTTAACCCCATTTATCTTGCATCATTATCTAGTATGTCTATCAGCATCGCATCGTGTCTATGAACTCTGCAGGCTCTAATCCCGCCTCCCCCGTCATCGGCTGGCTTCTCCCGCTCTGTTGCCGCTTTCATTGCTGCCCTCCCCGGCTCGTTGCGGCGCGGCGTTCGCTCTCGGTTGATTTACGGCGCGATAATGGCCGTAATTGACTGCGCGGAGACGTGTGGAGAAGCGAAGAATAGGGTCCGCGCAGAGGAGCTCGCATGAGTTATCTTCATTACCGTATGCTCTCCGTGCGCCTTTATATCTCACTTCGGAATCCTGTCCGGGTATTGATTTTACGAGAGCGGAGCCTGCAGCCGAGTAAATTAAACTCCCGACGACCGAACTGCGATTGCCGCGGACATTTGTAAGAGGAGGAATTCGTTGGTGCGTCAGTCGGTCAGCAAACGAGCGAACCGAGGGGAAATGAGTGTGTTTCGCGTTGAAGAATTTGAACAGTTATTCTCGTCAAGGTAAGCTAGTCGGGTGTTCCACGAAGTCCTAAATTCCGAGAATGGGCAGAAAGACGGGATTGTTTCCCTTGAGGAAACCGCATCGTTTTTGTACCGCCGAGTCATCGAAAGTGATCGGAGGAGTGGCGTGGGGGGTGGGCAGCCAAGAAGACGCGCGGAATTGGCTTTTGTGGGGGCGCCGAGAGGGCCTGGCCGAGATGATTCGAATTTGCGGGAGTCTGAGTGCGTTCGGCGCGCATGGAGGCGCGCGGGCGGTGCCGCCAACTTCAAAGACACGTGCGCGGTCTGGCGACGCCCCCACCAACGCGCAGTGGACGGCTTCGTAGAGGAATTTGGGCGAAACTTTCGGGCAAGGCGCCTCCACGCACTCGACATTCGGCGAGGATTTAGTGTTTCTGGTTTTGTTAACTACTTTGATCATTATTCCTGTTGTGTCTGGATGGGATGCGC